CTGGGGAATTCTGGGAGTTGAAGTCCACATATCTTAAAGTGGCCAAGGTTGAGGAACACTGCTTTAGCCAACAGGCCTGGAATTCACAGCTGGCCCCCCATCCAGGTATTAAACAGGGCTGATCCTGTTTAGCTTCTGAGATCAACCAAGGATGGCTAAGGGCACCTATTTGTTAAGGCTCTACTCACAATTGCATAAGGAAAAGTAGCCTGTTTCTTATGCAGGCTTCTCACATTCACGATCAGGCCATCTTGCAGCAATTACGAATAGTGTAACATGATATTTGTTTCTTTCTAGCAAGACCCTTTAGTCAGAACTCAAAGAAATATGGTTACCTGGATGGATTCCCCTTGGATTAACAAGCCAAAACAACAAACAAACAGGCATACAGTAATACAGATATTGTAGAAAATCTGTTGCATTCCAGTGATTCTCCTCGAGTCTCCCAAGTACCTGTTCTCTGTGATTTAGAAAGGCAAGCGTTAGGTGAGCTATTTTTACTCGGTTTGTTAAGTGGAAGACAAAAAAAACCCCTCTTGCCTCTCTGCCTGATTCATGTAAAAAGAGTCCTCTAAAGTACGCCTTCCAGTTTCAACCTGTTTTTTCTCCTGTAAGCATGTTCTCTCTCTATGTTGTGCTGTTTCTTAATATTATAGATTTTGCTTGATGCATGCTTATATTATTTGCATGCGTGGCTATCCGCACGCACGTTGTTATCTGAGCAAAGGATTTGGAACCAAGGCCACTGTCAGTTTCCCGTAGCCCTAGTTGTAATCTCCAGGCACACAGAAAATAAATTCACAGTCTATGGAACTACTTCTTTTGACACAGGTCTTCTCGATTTTTTAAGATCAGTGCATGCCAGAGGAACCAAGACATTCAGAGTGCAAAATGTAATGGTTCGTATTTTAAATAACAGGCAATAAGGGTCAATCCTGCCTTGAAATGGGGATATTGGAGGCTGTGAATACTCTACTGTTAAGGGAAACGTCTCTTGGACCATGCCCAGAGGTGTTCTTTTTCTAAAGTAAGAGGTGTTGAGAAAAATGGTCTAGGTCAATGCTTCTCAACCTTGGCAACTTTAACAAGTGTGGACTTCAACTCCCAGAATTCTCCAGCCAGCATTGCTGGCTGGGGAATTCTGGGAGTTGAAGTCCACACTTGTTAAATTCTTGAAGTCCACACATCTTACAGTTGCCAAGGTTGAGAAACATTGATCTAAGCTATATCTCACAATAAACTCTATCTATATATATTATGGAGGTGTGAAAGAGAAATGGATCCTTCAGACTTCCATGGAACTTTCCTCTTTCCAAGTTGCTCTATAACTGAGGAAGAAGAGGGAATCGAAGGTAATAATGATGAAGGTGTGGAGAAAATAAAACTAACAAATTAAATGGAGGCTGCACCCTTTTTCCTCCCTGTCTTTTGGACATGACCAAGGTCAAACCCCTGTCTTTGCCTAATCCTATCAGACCCCAAATGACCCTCCCTGCCCCCAGACAAAGCCCCTTGCAATCCCATCTAAATCAAAGAAGGGAAGCCTGGCTCACCAGCTCACAGTAC